ATGTGTATAAGAGACAGGATATAAGCTTATAACTCTTATAAGTTATAACTCTCGTATTTTGTAGCATTATTAAAATAAGATACTTCGTATAAACGCTGGAATTAATAATGAGTTGATTTCTATGTTTGCATTTGATTACTATATTCCTCGAGGTGAGGCTTATTTATTGTTAAATAAACTGTTTTAGGAAACGCAATCCTAATAACTAGTGTAAAGATTAATTTAAATTGATATTTATATTAAATATTTTTAAAGAGTTTTGATTATTAATAATTGTCAAGAGCCATACGTTTTATTTGAAAAATACATTAACTCTGTTTTTTTAATTTTCATAATATGCTTTTTATTTCTTTAGTATTTAACATTATCAGCAATAAATATATGCTTGTTATAAAAGTTTTAAATTTTGAAAAGTGTATCAAAGTATTGCAAATGTAAAATATGATAGGTTTTATGAATATGTACGTGAATTTTTCCATTGAATTTTTTTCCTTGGGAAAAAAACCGAAAAAATCCGCGGAAAAATTGGAAAAAAAAACGGTTTTGTTTCCGGCCGTTAAAACCAAACATAAAAAATGTTCTATCACGTTAGATTTTTGATAAAAATGAGGTGAAAACGTCTAAAAAATACATTTTTTACTTTTTGGATTTTTGGAAATTTCATAGTTGACAAATCCGATATGCAAGAGATTTCGAAAATAGTTCAAATTAATGGTTAAACATTATTTTTTTAATGATTAAACTTTAATATAAAAATATCGAATTTCTTACAGTCGACATCAAACCTTTGACATGCTTTGTTTTTCATGGTGCACTCTGGTAAACAATATGGATAGTTTAATTAAACCGCGGTCTACATTTATAGTTTGATATGCTATATAAAATTCTATATTTTGTGAAAAATTTTAAAATAGATGTAACTTATATAATTTTTTGTATAAAATTACAAAATAAAGAAATATAAATAAAAGTCTAACAATCAGCAATTTTGGGGAAGAAAGTGTTATAAAATAATTTATTCAATGCGAGTTATAAAATGAAACAACTAAATATTTCGATTTTACAGTCTTCTTTAGTAGTCAAAAGTATTAAATTACATGATTCGCGTGATTTCATATAGGTACTTTTGACTACTGAAATGAAGTGACTGTGGAGTCGAAACATTTATTGTTAGTTGTTTAATTTTGTAACATTAAATAAATTATTTTATAACATCCATAAAATTGCTCATTGTTAGCTTTTTAAAATATTTTTTTACATATTACGAGTTATAAATCATTTTAATTACAAAGTCAATTTTTGAAAAATCGTTTTTCTAAAATTTTTTAAATTAATAAAAAGAATATTTTTATTAAAAGAGCATGTTTATTCCCATATACTAAATTCACTTTAAATTATTACTATTTGCAATAATATTTTGCACTGAGACTGCATGGGGCAACTATTTTACTTGACATTGCGACTACATCTACTAAGAATAACGTGATGTAACATTTACACTTACGGATTTGATTTGAACTTATAAAAAATTATGCAAAACTACTTTTTTTCAAACAATAAAAATCATCCTTTCATTATTATTAATATTGATAGGAGTGATCGAATCCACTGGCATGACAACACAGGCAAGAAGTTCATACTTGCCATCGGAGATTTTATGGGGTCATCGATTTCAGCCCATTATTACCTTTCGCAAAGAGACCGATGAATATGAAGTCAATTATACTCTTTTTAATAACACTTATGAAGTGGATACTCCACTTTGTTCTGCTGCTGATCTCGATCGTATTCGGACGATGCATCGCACAAAATCTGGTAAAAATTTATTTTTTATTTATTAATAATACATTTATTATTTTCTTCTCTATATTTTTAAAATTTTTAATAAATTATGAAGAATTTACGTAAGGAAAGGGGGAGCAAATAGTGACAGGGGGCAAATAATGTCACTTTAAATTTCTCCTCTTTCTTGCGTCTATTTTATCACTCGTTAATAGAAAGTTTTCGAGCATGTAATTATCTTCTAAAAAAGCTGTAAAAATCAAAAGCCAAATCTAGCTAGCGGAGAAGTTTAAAAATTTTGTATTCGTGAAATAAGGTAAAATTTGGATCTTTTTTTGATATTTGAAGTTATATTTTCTTAATTGCTGAGTCGTTGAATAAGATCTAACTTATTCTATGTCATACGGTACCTTTTTCCTATATTTTGATATAATTCCTATGCTTGTATATTAATTTTATTTCTCTTAGTAAAATTTTAGGACCCTGTCTAGTCACCGCGACCATATTGGACTCGTGACGTCATAAGCGAGAAACAGCGAAAAATGATACGTAAAAGTTTGTTGCATGCCATTTTTAAATAAAGAGGATTTGGATAAAATTAATAAATAGGATCGCTTTAGAAAACTTGTAAAAATGGATGAAAACTGTCCTCTTCCCCCCTGAAAGTCAGTAAATAGTCGTAAAAGGCAAGTAAAGTGAAGCTTATTCAGACAAGAGAACTCACGATTTGACAACTGTTGAAAGGAAAAGATACTTTAACGTATAAAATTCGACTACATTGAACGGAAAAGATACTTTAACATATAAAATTCGACATCCATTTTTACGACTTTGATAAATACGAGACAAGTCACATTATCACAATTAAGCACATAATAACGAAATTGCACGCAACACAAAATTCGTTGTCAACACTTTTTACAGTAGGTTCGTTATTTTCTTCAAGTCGAGTATTCCCTTCATATTCGACAGTTATTGATCAATTTTACACTGCTTACAATATCGGCATACAATATATTCTGTAGAATTATCACGGTTTATGACTTAAAACACCGATATATGACGTATTATAG